TTGCGTAGTTTGGAATTCGACAGCATAATACAAGATTTCGTTGAATCCAAAAATCGCAAAAAAGTAATATATTAGATCATAAGATTCTGCAAAATAATTTATTACCGAAAAATATTATATTTTTATTTGTATCTTCATAATTTTGTGCAAAATACACTTGTTGTTTTTAAAGCTAAATTATTTTTGTCAACAAATTTTTTTCTCCCAAGTTCTTCGTAGGCCCCTGAATTTCGTAGGCCCTAGGCACGTGCCTAGTGTGCCTATAGGTTAATCCGGCCATGACAGTAACCATACACAAATGAATAAACTATATTGTTAAAAACAAATTCATAGGGTCAGAAAATGGGTATAAAATCAAACTTTTTTTAATGAAGGCTGGCTCTAAATCCAAACCATTAAATTTATTTTACTAAAACTTTTGAGGCATTTTACATACATTGGATCTATATAGATTAAATATGAGGCATAACTTATCTATTTTGATCGATTGTTTTCTTAAAGTAATGCATTCAAAAGAATGTTTTGACATACCCACTTTATCCCAGAGTGTGGTAAAGTGGGTTCAGTTCTAAAATTAGTATATATTTCGTGAAAAAACATTTGCAAACATTGTTTGAGAAATAAAAATGCTCTTAAAATAAATGTATAATGATTATTTAAAAAAAAATTATAGAAAAAGAAAGTTTTTTCGTATCATCAAATTAAAGAGTTAATGCTCATAGCCATCAAAATAAGATTCCGCTTCGGATGCAATATATTTTGCTGAGCTCTACACAATTTCATCAAAGAGTAAGAAAAGTGTAATAATTTTCGGTTTACTTGAAATATAAACAAGGGTGTAAAAATTAATATCTATAGAAGTAATTTAAAGTGTTTTTATAATAACAGGCATGCATTTTTATTTAATTTAGTTACCTTAAATAAATCATTTTGTTTTCTATGAAAAACTGCCATATGAAGGCAGAAACTTAATCAAAAACTCATCTATATCGTTAAATATGATCATTAAGTTTTTTTAATTGCCTATTTTTAATATGTTGGTGATATTATTCTCCAATCAATCTTTTCTTTAAATGATAAAATTTAAAATAAATTTTGTTGTCAGTGTTAAAATTGCTATGTAGGGCTATAATCAAACAAGTAAATTAACTTTTTCACATATATAGAGCATTAGATACTTACTAAAGCTAACACAGAAATAAAAAAATATCCCTATCAAACAAAACTTAGCTAAGCCTAACTATATAGATCCACCCTCAGAAAACAATTCATAGTAAATTGAATTTTCAAATTCATACTTAAAGGTCAATCTAGATCTGTTCTTTAGATCTCTATTTACCAGTTTGAACTTAAATTAATAGTTTTTGACAGTTTTAATGATATTAGAAGAAAGTTTATCAACAGCTTAAACTAAAATACTTTTTAAGTTGATCATAAAGATAGTTTGAAAACATAATTTTTTTTTTATCAGTTCCTAAAAGTGAAATAAAAATGCATGTCACAATTTCAGTAAATGTATTTAAAATATTACATTATCTTGAATTAAAAGGAGAAAATAGATGTCTTTAGCATATACCCACTTTATCCCATCTGACCCTCTACAATAATATGTTAAAAAGGTTACAAAACAGTAAGTTAATACAGATCATATGCTCCAAAGATACTTTCATAATATTACCTGATTACCCCAACTAATTATGCCAAAATACTAAATGAAATTGAAGTTTATCTAGGAGCAAATGAAAGAAAATTAGATAGCATGCTGGTAAAGGTTGCATTATGTGATCTCTGAGACATTAATATAGTTCTAGGTTATCTTTCTTCAAACATGCATGCGTGTATATTTTTAATTAAAATTGCTTTATCATAAATCAAACAACTTGTTGGCATATTTTATGGGTGTGAAGGGATTAAGTTATTATGATCTGAACTAGCATAAGTTTGAAAGAAATCAAGTTCTAAGAAATTTTTTTAAAATTAGATTGAGCAAAATACACGAAAAAATAGGTATATCATAAACCTAATTGTATTATAAGACAAACGAAATGAGAAAAATAAATTAGAAATTTGTGGGAAGTTTTCTATGAATATTTGAGAATTCTTCTTCTAAATCAATAACTTTTTCATTAACTTATCTATACCAATGATTTCCAAACAAAACTTTCAGACAATAGCGATTTAATCTTTCATGAATTATAATTCCTAATTCTTTAACAGACAAAATTTGTCGTAGTAAATAATACTGCATATTTAGTGTACGGTAGTTATAATCAAGAAAGCAGTATATAGTTTCAAAACACAATTTAAAATAAATATTAATTTTGTATCGAATATATAAAATTCTGATTAATTATAAATAATATCAATAAAAATCATAAAAAGGAGTTAAAAAGTTCCAGAAAATTGAGTAAGAAATCAATAACCCCTACTACTATGAATACTCCTGTGGTCAAGAAAAATTTTGCATTTATTATACCTAATTGTTTAAAATTTAATTAAATATTAAATAAAAGTTTCAAAAGTCTTTATAAAGAGCTTACTTGTAATTGGCATGACTCACAAGATATATTCGAAAAGAAAATTCAGTACAGACACGATAGCATAAACATTACCAAAATTGTGACATTTAACTCAAGTTTAGTTTACATATCGTGCTATAGTTTACATGTCAGACATTTCGCACCTCCGCATCAAATAAACTTAAAAAACGAGTTCATGTTTCAGATTTTGAAATAAAATCTATCTTCGTAAAAAATTAAAATAAAATTTAATAAAATTGCAATAAGTTTACAAGGTGTTATTTCTCTGTAATTAATATTTATTTTCTCATTTTCTGCTGTACTAGTTGTTTCAGCAGCCTATTGCCAAATAAAAAATTATTAAGTTGAAAAAACAGAATTTTGTTTACTTTTATTCAATTTTAGAATTAGCTACATTTAATTAAATTTTTTATTTTCTAATAGTTTTTTTTAAACTTTATAAATTTGTTTATTGTGTAATAGACATATGAAACAAAAATATATTATTGAACTAAATTTAACTGTCACCATGTTTATGAATGTATTTTGTTTTGTGTTTATGTTTATAAATAATTTTCGATATCTCACAAATCTTACTATTTAAATCTCAATAATTATAGCAATTGCTTAAAAATGTCTATTGTATCAATTAACTCAACATCTAGTTAGATTCTAATAGCAAATTCAAAGTAAACAATTTTTTTTTTTTGCTATCGTCTGCTTGCCTGCCAATATGATTTAACTAAACTTTTACATGTAATTTTGACATTTCATTGTATTTCTAATGGCACAACCACCTCCTCCTCCTCTTGAGGAAGTCGAAACACCGGGATGTGTTGTGAAAGAGATCGAAAAACAATTGTACAAAACTTTAAAAGATGTCTTCAAATATGACAGCTATAAAACTCTAACTCAAAAGCGAGCTGTTGAAGCTGTAGCAAATAGTACTCAAGATGTGTTTGTTTCAATGCCGACAGGTGCAGGAAAATCTTTATGTTTCCAGTTGCCTGCGATTGTAAGTGAAAGAAAGGGTCTTACTGTTGTTGTATCACCATTAATAGCCCTCATGCTGAATCAAATGACCCAAATGAAGGCATTAGGTATTCGTACTGAAACTATTAACTCCAAAATGTCAGCTAAAGAAAGAGAAAGAGTGAAAAAAGATTTAACAAGTAATTCACCTAAAACAAAATTGCTTTATATCACTCCAGAATTAGCTAGTACTCCAGGTTTTCATTATTTGTTAGATCATCTACACAAAACTAATAATATTGCTAGAGTTGTTGTAGATGAAGCACATTGTGTTTCTCAATGGGGACACAGTTTTCGACCAGATTATTTGCTTTTAGGAAAACTGCGAGAAAAGTATATGATGATTCCCTGGGTTGCTATGACGGCTACTGCTTCAAGTAAAGTTATGGATGATATCTTAGATCTATTAAAGTTGTCAAAACCTGTTGCAATATTTAAAACTGCTTGTTTCCGTCCAAATCTTTTCTACGATGTAGCATTTAAAGAGTCTCTTGATGATCCTGTCACAGATTTAAAGGAATTTGCACTATCTGCTTTAGGTGATCACTGGGAGATGAATCCGCCCAACGTGCGTGGCTGTGGAATTGTTTATTGTCGAACGCGTGATGGATGTGAAGAACTTTCCTCTAAACTTACTAAACTGGGTTTGCGTACAGAGCCATATCACGCAGGTATTAAACCTGCCATCAGAACGGAAACTCAGGCAGGATGGATGGAAGGCAAAATACCTGTTATAGCAGCAACTGTTAGTTTTGGAATGGGTATTGATAAACCATCTGTGCGTTTTGTTGCACATTGGTGTGTGTCTCAATCTGTTGCTGGTTATTACCAAGAATCTGGTCGAGCTGGACGAGATGGCAAGCAGTCTAAATGCCGAATATATTACTCTAGAAAAGATAGAGATACAATACTATTTCTACTTAAAAAAGACGAAACTTCTGCAAAATCTACAACTTCAAAACTAAAAATATCTACAACTATTAAGAGTTTTAATACCATGATTAAATATTGTGAAGAATCTGTATGTCGTCATTATGTTTTAGCCAGGGAATTCGGTGATGATATACCAGATTGTCGCAAACACTGTGATGTGTGTGTCTACCCCAAAGTAGTGGAACAAAAAATTTCAAAATTTAAAGGAATGTTGCTTGGCTCTAAAATAAAATATCAGAGGAAAGGTGGTGATTTTGGTGAGTTGTATGGCGGGGGACGAGAAGGTGCTCGTCAGGACTATGAAGATTATGATGCAGAAGGAGATGGACCATCACGAGATAAGCAAGCAGCTTCAGAATTATCTAATCTCATCAGTGATGAGTTTAGCAAACGGAGAGGTTCTAAAGATAAGTCAGATAAACATGCTGTTAAACATAGTTCTAAAGTTCTACAACCATCTTTAAGAAAAATACCTGAAGTCAATGTATCTATTAGAGAAAGGTATTTTGATAAATTAGTGGAAGAAATTCAATTGCATATGGATACTTTATCTTCGAATAAAAATTGTCCAGTTTTGAAAGGAAAAGATCTTAATCAGTGTGTTGCAGACCTCGAATGGAATGCCTTCAGTTCTAAAGGTAATATTCACATGTATCGGAAAGAGATGGTCAATTTAACTAAATCTCTGAGAGAAGCTTCTCGTCAAGCAGAAATACATCCAGTTCTTGCAAACTTTGTTCCTAATAAAAACTCAAAATGTGACAGTAAGGAACGATTGCACACTATCATAAACTATTTTCAAAAAAGTACTGCTAATAATGAGAAAATCTCCATTCAGGAGCCTGTTTCGAAGAATAGTCCTGTGAAACAAAAGAAAAGAATGCATTCTATATCTTCTGAAAGTGATGACCAGTCTGATAAATTTAAAATGACTAAAAGTTTCCTGGACAATGGTACTGTTAATCATGAAGTGTATAATAGTCCTAATAAATCTATAAAAATTAAAAAGAGCTCTGAAAGTTCTAGGTCTATAGAAGAAGAAAAACCAATAATGAAATATTTTTTTGAAAGTGTATCTAATTCTATTACTGAACCAGTTCATCATTTGTCCCCCGAGGAATCAAAATCAATTACGATATTTTCCGCCTCCCCTACCAGCAGAGGCTCTATGAAATCAGTTCCAACGGATCACGAGCGACGGACGTCTTCAGGTTCTCCTCCCAGGAAAAAGCGACACAAATCTAGTAATGCACATGGTAATAAGTCTGAAAAAAATAAATATGCAGAAACTAAAACTACAACCCAAACTCGCAATGACCTTCTAAAGAAGGCAGCGGATTTGGTACGAAAACATTTAAACCCTGAATATAAATCTAAAAGAATAAGTAAAGACTTTTTTAAAATTGTATGTCGTAGTATATCTCATAGATTAGTTGAAGCAGATGCAGTAAATGATGCAGCCGCTAAATTTGAAGTTGAAAAACTATTGCAATCGCAAGCATCAGTTTCTTCTGATCATTAAATTTGTATAATAATAACTGTTACTAAATGCATTGTCCTTTTTGGTTTGAAAAAATGAGGGAAAATTTATTATTGCTCAGTTGTTTAATGCTTAAAGATTTTTATTCACATAGATTTGTTTATTTTTCTCATATTGAATTTAAATATAAATTAATTTTGTTATGATGTTTAAAATAACACTTGTTATTAATATTATCAATATCATGTAAAATCATGTTACAATGTCTTTCTTTCATAAAAATATTTACTATTATTATATAATTAAAATTTGTATGTAAATTTTCAAGGGTTAAACTTTTGTCTTTAAAAAAAAACACTTAAATAATAATTGAACTGAAATAGTTTTATTAACAAGTCAAATATTTTGTCTTATTAATGACAAATATGACAAAATATTTGACTAGTTAATAAAACTAAAAAATCTATATATTTATTCAGTTTTTTAATTAACAAAATGAAATCTTGAAAGTTTTTTAAATTGTTAAAAATCAATTACGTTAATTTATTTTTTAAAATTTTATATTATAATAAAATATATTTTTAATTGCAGATTTCTTTGTATAAATTTAAAGGAATTTTGTGAAACATCAATTTAAAATAGTTGAAGAGAAAAGATGATTATGTTTGTAATTAGAAAAAAAAAAGAAAATGTGATAATCTAGAAATTGTGCAACAAATGTTGAAGGAGTTTTTGTTTTTATCAAATGTAAATAAAAGCATTAAATTTGACTTCAAAATATTGTTTTGTCTTTTTATCATTCAAATTTTTTGTGATGTGTTTAGATTTACAAGATATCATAAATTCTAGAATTAAGTTAGATTTTAAATATTAGTGATTTAATACATTTACTAAAGGTGTATGTTTGGGGGGGGGGGCTAAAAATCTTTAAAACTTTAAATTCTGTATCATGTTTGCTGTTTGAAAGAGTACTATAAATGTGATGTTTTCTTATATTTACAACGGTGTCTTGATTCTTTTATATGAAAAAAAAAATGATTTAATGTTAAAACTTGATATTATATTGTAGAACAGGTATTTGATTAGTTTAAGAAACAATGATCAATCAAATATAAATAAGAGGTTTTTCGTCTATGAAAATGATTTTTAGTTTTAAAAGTTGAATATACAATCAAGAAAAACTGTTGCAAAATAATCAAGTAAAAAAAAAATCTTTTATCATTAAAACATCATCAAAGCTAATCATATAAGAAAAGAATCTGAAACTTTTTTTTCCAGTTTTTCAGTAAAGATTTGGGAAATACATATTTTGTTTACATATTTTTAATGATTTCTGATGGGTGCAATAGACTTTTTTTTTTGTAGGATATATTATGACAGTCCTTTATTTTATTTAATATCATCCTATATTTTAGTAATAAAGAAAACATTTTTAAAAATTTCAAATCTTTTTCTTGGCTTTCGAATAGTTTTTTATGACAAATATATATATTAAAAGAGTTGAACAGCCAACCCATTTTTGGGTTTACGCCCAACGATGTTCAACTCCATAGACTTATAATTTTGAACCCAATCCAGAAGAAAGAAAACTTCTGGATCAGGCATTGAAACAAACCAGTCTTTGTGGAGAATGTTTTGAAACCACTTGAACCTCCCACACTTAGACAATGGCTCATGATTTTTCTACCACTGAAAATATTTTACTTCACTGTGGTCGTTGTGAGTAGAATTTATAAAGACCAAGCATCGCAAGGATTCCTTTGCCACTTCATTTGATTCAATCACCTGAGCCACCACAACTTTTATTTATATATATAAGATAAACAAAACTTAATTTTTGTTTGTAATTTTCAGCTATCTGGAAAGCGTGAGATCAAAATACTTTTGGGGTAAATAAGATTTTATAAAATTTTTTGGATTACAAGAATCAATTTGCACTTGAAGAATTGTGAAGTCAAATATGTTCTCCTAAAAGTATCTCATTAATTAAAAAAAGAATTAAAAAGCAAAAGAGAATATTTTGTAATGATAAGCAAGCTCTCATATTTGATTGGTGCATTTTAAGTAAGTGTTATGCCTTTCCTTCATAGATAGTTTAAAACATAGGTTCCCAGTCTTTTTTCGATTGCCGCTCACTTCGCAAAGCATAATTTTTTCAATGCCCCTTGCAGAAAAAAAAAAAGATCACCCCTTTTTTCAAGATGTTTTATATTATCGGCATGGTACATTATTAAAAATTCGTTGTAACCAATAAATTCATAATTAAAACTTTTTTGTTTTGTTTTATAAATCAAAATCCAATGTATCACGTAGTTGAAATTAAATAATCAATTAAATATTATATTGAAGCTTTTAAAGCTCCTATGCATATAAAAAATTTTTTTAGATCTGTACCAATATATTGTTTATTCTGTACCATGGTTATGTCTTTAAAAAAAAAAAGTGATTTGTTTGGGAATTTGATCAGCCTTAAGTATTCATCAGTGTTTTCCAGTACAGCTAGTGTAGTAAGTGAAACCTTTAAATTAAATGTGAAGCCTTTAAATTTAAAGTGGATATAGCAAAATTCTAGAAAAAAATGCTAATTAATTGCTAAAATAATAAATTACTACTATAATGAAGAAAGTTATGAGTAGCTAAGAGTCACGATTGCTATGTGGTTTAGGCACTTGGCTCTTCTTGTGAAAAGCTAGGGTTATATCCCTAATGCAGACTTGAAACCCATCCAGATTCAGATTATCAACTTACATCAGGTGCCAACTTGTCTGAGAAATAAAGTCCCGCAGTGGATTGATCGTTAAGACCAGTAGATCATCGAAGTCAAGCATCACTGACTGCGGTCAGTGTGCGGGTGGGTGACCACTTGGATCAGTCTGCATATGGACCGAGGGTGTGCGGTATTGGTTCTCGTTAAACTGTTCTACCGTAAAGTGCTCGACTTCGAGTGCAGGTCGTCGGGCTACCGAAGCGGGGTGCCATCCCCTCTGCAGAGGATCAAAATTGTGATGGCATGTCTTCGGATCATCCTCAGGGATGTTTCCCAGACCGTCGCCAATAGCCCATTGTGCAGCTCTAGTGCGACGTAAATGAACAAATCAGTCTGAGAAATAAAGAATACTTGTACACAATGCTGACTATTATGTCACAATAAATTTAATTGCCATTATTTCATTGCCACTTATTTTTTTTTAATTAGGAATAATTTCTTTAAAAGGCAACACAAGGAAAAATAAACATTTCTAAATTGCAAGGCTAAAAAACATTTTCTAATGATTCCATGATATAATATTAAAAGGCTTTTTATTTCATTGTAATTAGAAAGAAAAGTATTATTCTTTATAAAGACAAAGAATAATATTTAAACACAACAAGCAAAGGGATTTAATTTTCCTATAAAATGGGTTTCAAATCTTTGACTTAATAAATTGCTACTATAATAACTTTTTAAATAACAAAATGAAAATAATTTTTCGATACAAATTATGAAATTGGTAATTTTAAAATGTACTAAATTTTTTTATTAAAAATTCTTTTGTTAGTTACTGATCTTTTAGAAGTTCCAAATGCCCCCTCAGAAGTCTTCGGTGCCTGCTAGGGCTGGGGTATCGCTCACATTGGGAACCTATGGTATAAAAGCAGATAAGAGTTTTTTTTTATTCTTGTGCTACTCAAGTTCAGTGCTGCTCAAAAAATTATAATCAGATTAATCATTGCGGTGAGACAGGTGCCAAGTTTGAATAGTGAAAAAGAGAAAATGTTCATTTATGTTGTGCAGATATTATATCAGTTTTGTGATGGCACAGAAGTTAGGGCACTGAACTGTTATTGTGAACGACTGGGGTTCTGTCCCAGATGGTAGCTTGAATCCCACTGTACTTTAGACTAATAAATTGCTAGCTTGCCTGGGAATTAAGGATGACTGGTGAGCAATGCTGATTACAATGCAGTTGGTCACAAAATTGTAAAGCTATGACTTCCATGAGCCACTTAGGTGACAACTGGATGTTGCTAAAGTGCTTTATTTTTATTTTTTACTTATATACTTATATTTTTAGTTGGTAAGCAAAGATAAAAACCTTTTATGCAAGCTAGTTTTAAGACATTTGGTATTCAGCTAACTAGGATCTTATTGCAGTTCAAATAATCATAATGGAAATAAACATACAGTCTCATAATAACCATCTTATAGTAAGTTGCAATGAGGGAATTTTTTTTTTTTTTAATCAAATTTTGTCAAGTTATTTCAATAGTTTAGTGCAAGAACAATCAATATAATACTTTAAAAATGATGAAAATTATGCAAAATGATAAAAATTATCGAAATATATACTTCGTGTCAATATGAACAGTTCTGGTTTAAACCATTATTTATTCTTTTAAAGGTAGACTTTATTTTTGATGACAACATTTGAAACCTTTCATTACCAATAAATTTTTTCCCCATTAATTTTAACTTTCTTGCATTAATTTTAGGTAAGTTAAATGCATTAATTACAGAAAATAATCTAAAATTATATTCGAATAAGAACTTGGCCTTTTCCTTTCAAAAATTGATTATATTAATATAAAAATAAACTAATCTAAATTTAAATTTTATTTATAAAATGCAAACATTAAAATTTTATCTCACAAGAACAACAAGACCCTAAGTATGAAAAAGATATTATTTGTTGTGTCAGGCTAAAACATTCTAAAGCACATTTTTACAGACATCATAACTATAGGCTATAACATTTTAACCATCCAAGCAAAAATAGTAAGTTATTTATCTTATAGAATATGCTGTGGTAAATGTTTTATTAGTGTGTAACAGATGCAACAGACACTGAGTAAGAATTAGATTACAATTTTGCAAATACAAAAAAAAAATGTGAAGTAGTTTCTTCCTGTGTACTGTAAAATTGTTAATTTTCTTTCATAAAAAGACCTATTTAAATGTTAAAGATTTAGACGTTACAAAAATGAAGAACTATTTATCATAGGCATATATTTACAAAAATATTACTACAACAAACATCATTGAAGTTTCTTAATTTATTTTCTGTTCTCAATCAATGCATAAAAAGAGAGCAATTCTATCAACTATCATCTTTTTGCAAGGCAGTTCATTAAATACAAATGTCTCAACTTTTTTTAAAAAATTATTTAATTACTTTTTAATTTTAGAAAGAGGCAGGATGCACTTTGTATTAGATTGGCGTTAGTTTTACTCATTTAAATTTTAAATAAGTTAAAAATATTTTTTTACAATTTCATTAACAAAATATTTTTTTCCACTACTTAAAGTTCTAATAAACTTTTTTTTAAAAAGTTTTATTCTTGATTGTTATTTCCTATTCTTTTTTGCTTTAAATTTTTAATTTAGAGCATATATGTAGTTCGTGATTAAAGTTGACATTTTTACTGTATTATGTACTAATAGCTAATTATGAGGAAAATTAATTCATTCTGAAACTGTATTTTAAGGGTTTTACATTAAGGCGCAATGATAAGATACAAACTAAAAATACAGCTTGTGCCAGGCAAGGTCTAAGAAAGGTTGAGGTATATTTTCGTTTAGTTTACACACGTCTTTCAAAAGCAATTAAGGTTGTTTACTGTCCAGCTGTCACGAGAAATCCCCAACTGCACCTAACTCGTGCTCTGGCATTTTCTGTGGTTATGAGTAATTTTGAATTGAGGTATGGTGTCAGTTGTTTCATATTGTTGAAAGTTGAAAAAATTGTGTCATTTCTTAAATTCTCTAGTAAAAATAGTTTTGTTCTTGTTTTAATAACAGCAGAAAGGTTTAGATTTTCACTCAGGAAGTGTGCTCACGATAACTGCCAAGCACCTCAATGTCATGACGTATATTAAATAAAAATACACTAATTCAAAAGATCATCAATACAAAATTTTCCTAAACCTTTTAAACTGAACGTATTTAGGTTATAGTTTAATGATCTAAACGAAATTACCAATCAACAACTATAAGTTACCTTCAGCTATAATAATTGCCATAATGATAAATAAATACTTTGTAAATTAATAATGTTTATATTTTTATATTTCTGAAATAGCTTATGTTTGAAAAATTTAAACTTTAAAACAATTATAATAAAAGGGACATATATTTTGGTAAAAGGAAATTTTCATAACTTAATAATTTAACTATTAATAGTTGTGTAAACATATAGTTTTCTATTGCCTAAAATTAGCCTCAGAAACTTGTAGTAAAATTGATTTCAGAGAGAGTAATACAAATCATAATTTTTTTTAATATCTTCTTCACATATTTTGATAATTGATGTTGTATTTATAGATGTTATAAATCTTCTAAAATTGAAATTAAAGACAATAAATAAAAAATATGATTTTTAAATATCAAACATGATGAATATATATATATATATATATAAGTCAATAAATGCACTTATTATCCTTAATATTTATGTAAATTTTAAACTATTAGCAATAATCACTTGAATTTGATCATATTTTTGTGGAAGAAATACTTAGTAAATAATAACTTGTCTAAATAGCAATGGCTGATGCATAAATATATATAACACAATAAGTACAGCAAAATAATTAAGTAAATTATGTTTTGTTTCTAAAAAAAAAAAAAAAAAGAATAAAAATAACTCCAATTGTTTTTCAGTCTTAAATTTAAATGTCATAGTATAATATTTTTTAAACATTACTATATTTATACTTATAGAATTAACATTGTAGGAAAATGAAGGAAAAACACAGTTCATTGTGGATAATTCAAATTTTTTTACTCTAGAAATCTGATTAAAAATGTTAAAAAATATATAATATTTCCCTATGTATTTTTAAGTGATAAAAATAACTGATTAATTTGAGTTGTAACATATGTTTATAGAAGTTTTCAGCTTTAATGTTATGCACACAGAAATTTAAGTAATATTTTTTTTTCTTTTCATCTGTCATCATTTATAGTAAAAAATATTCACAGTTTTCTTAGTGGTGGAACACTTTAGATCTGAAGATGCTCATTCTTTTTTTTAAAAAAAAAATATTATGGTAGATTCTAGATTTGCCACTGTAGCAAATATATATCAAAGAATATGAAACTAGATAAAACATAAAACAAATTCTTAAACCATAATGATAAATACATCACTTTACAGGGAATTCCATCATATGTAGGAATTTCTTGGTAAAAAAGGAGACAAAAAGAAATTCACAGACAGTGTTCTATCCTACTTGACCTTTTTAGGAGGACAAAATTATGTCATTACATATTAGTGAAACGTAACTTCAAGGGAAAAATCTGGAAGTCTATCAGAGATGGCCAAAAAAAATTCGTGAGAGTGTGAGCTTTAATCTATGTATTTTAAGTAAGTTAGAAAATTGAATAAAGCTCATCTATTTGTTTGTTCCAGACTGACTACTTAAGTGAACTGAACTTTTAACTTACACTTGAAAGGAAATTTGAGTACTTTTCATTGGACAGCCAGAGAAATTATTTCCTGCTACACAGACTTTTATTGTTCTGCTTATAGATTTTTAATTGTTTTTTTTAAATCTTTTTAAAATGTTTTAAGGTCTTTTAGGTATTATTGTTTTAAGAATGCCTGATTTCTTCACTTTGTAATTTTGTTGCATTTACATTTTCTTTTTATTTCTATCTTAAGTGTCCAACTTTGCATGGATTTTGTTTATTTAGTGACAACAGTTTTTCAGATTTTATGCATGATTAACTGAGAACCATTAGTTTTTTAATTTAATTTTGCATTATTTATTTTATGTTTCTAATTATTATTTTAATTTCAAAAATGATTGTATTAAGTGAAAAATGATATAAGCATTTTTGTTTTCGGTTATGAACTATTGTACAGCATGGGGAAAAAATATTCTGTCAAGTTTTTTTCTCACCTGATACTACAGGTTGGAAAACAAAATTTCACCAGTCTCTTTTAAATTTTAGATGAGGTTCATTGGAAGAAAAAGGTTGGGAAACACTTGTTCTCAACCCTTTAATCAATAAAAATTTTTATTTACGAAAAATGAAATAAAGAATTGGTTAAAAATTTTGTTTCGTGAATAGTTTTAAAGGTTATGGATTTTTTGAAATCAATTCACAAAATCAATAACTAAAAATTTAATTTCTTAAAATGAATTTAAATGCAAACTAGTATAGTTTTTCCAATTTATTTATTATTATCTCCAATTTATTTATTAGTTTTTCCAATTTATTATGTATTAAACTCAACAACAAAAATCTTTTAAAAATTCAACATACATAAATTTTTACAAAATATGAATCATCAGATAAATATATATATTTATATTAATTAAAATATTTAAAAATTTCTCACAAATTTAAATAATTGAAATTATTTTTTATTAGGTATACAAGCTAATAGGTGAAATATTTTTAAAAACTGTCACCTTAAACAAATATATATTATACATAAATACATTTTATCTAAAAAGTATAAAAATAAATTAAAACAAATAACTGTTATTTTTAACATTTCAACTATTAGATTATATACATTTGTTAAACTTGATTTCTGTTACAAAAGAAATCTTACAGTTTTGAATAATGTTCCTGTCTTACAACCATAGATGGCTTTAGATCATTCACATTGGTGCAACCTATAAAATTTTAAATAAAGTTAAAACTTGATATTCATATACAAAGAAACTTTAAAGTAATTTAAGATAAGTATTGTAATTAGATAGTATTTCTTTTAATGAGAAAACAATTAACAGGGAGTATAAATAAAATCAAAAGGCATGTTGAATACAAATATTAGCATTCAAATAGACAAATAATTGTTCTACAACTTTACAATTACCATGATCAGTGTGTCAACACTGAAAAAAAAATTTTTTTATACAGAAATCTGAGAAGCTTCAACAACATATTTGGAAAATTACCAAGCTTAGAATTGTTGGTAATAGAAATCAATGACAATTATTTACTGTAAAAAATTAGAAGAGTTTTTATAAAATTTCTTATTATAAAGATTTTGTTTTCTTGGTGAAAAACTATATGCAATAAAAATATCATTATAAAATAAAAAAAATCTTGTTTTCCTGTTGAAAAGTTACAGTATTTATCTAAAATATGATTTGGAACTATATTGAAATTTTTGTGAAATGCCCGGAAAAGTCAGGAAATTTAATTTCTGAAATTAAGTGTAAAAGCCATATCACACGTGCAGAAATTCGCCCAACACAACACACAACTTTCGTTCAACACAACAGTATGCAAAACTTTTAGCGCAACTTGGAAGTAGAACCATCGTGTGATATGCCAAACGAAGTTGAAGCAACTTTTTTCCTCCTCTTCGAAAAAGTTTACCCAACATTTCGCAGAACAACGCTTTTGACCAATCAGGTGAGAGAAGTCCACAACATTTCTTTCAAGAGAAAACAAGATGGCCAACTTGTGATGGTCTTCGGTGTTGATGTCAGATATTTGTTATTTCAGGTGAGTGTCAATACTTTATGTTTAATGTTTTTTTGCACAAAATATGATTCAATTCTAAAGAACTTATTAAAATACTTTTGAGTAATAATGTTATTGCATAGCTTATTTTTCAAAACGGCGATAGATTTTCTACGCCAAATTTGCCAATCTGAAGGAATATAAACAGGCGATGAATTTTAAGAGTTTAAATAATTTTTATTAGTTTCTGTAATTAATATTATTAGTTTCTGTTATAAATTTTATATTAAATAATGTGTTATCACTAAAATTTTCTGTTAACAGTGATTGTTTTTAATATGCTTTAATAGTATGGTTTTTCTGTGGAAGTTATATCATTTACGGAATTTTTATTATTGATTCCTCTTATTTGAAATATAGTTAGGAAATATATTTTAAGTTATAGTTACGAAATAGTTTTTTTAATTTAAAATAAAGTTTGATTTGGGATCGATGTAAATAATACCTTTTATATGAATTCTAATTTGTATTTGAAAAAATTTGCATGTTAATATTCTCAATATTATTCTTGTATGTATCGATTTATTTATACTTAATAAATCTCAGATGCTTTTGGATATTAGATAGTAGGACTCTATTTTGAATATTAGCTAACGTTACATCCTATTAAAATTGAATTAAATTTTTATTTAACCTAAAACTATTTTAATGTATACTTGATTTTCTTTTATTTTAAGATGGTTTGTTTAGATTTAATAACTAAAGAAAATTTTATTCTCATATTTGAATTGTTCTGAACAACGTTTCATTATTTTATCACTATCAGTAATGTTTTTGTGTATTACAGAAATATGGCAACTTCCAAAATAGATTAAAAAAGAAAGGTAAAGAATACTGATTTTCACCTATGAAGAATCATAGATCGACTGTATGGGCGCTAAATTGCCGGGATAGAAGGAAGGTATCGGCATGTTTACATAACATTAACATTACATAAACATTTTCATGAACTTTGGCAACCCTAGAACAACTTTTTCCGACTGAATGTTGGATGAAAAGTTTATCTTGCTGTTGCGTTGTGTGTTGTGTAGGGTGAATTTCTGCACGTGTGATATGGCTTTTAATCTTGTAACAAGTACATCCTCAAAAAAAGGAAGAAAAAAAAACATTTAACATGTCAGATTAAAATATTGCTAGTAAATAATATATGGTATAATGCATACAGAAAAAAAATTAGAAGTTAAAAAAAATATATAAAACAATGATGACAAAACCATTAAAATATTTTTCATTTCAAATAAACAGAAAAATGCAATTGTCTAGCTTATACATACCAAGCAAAGCCATAGAAAGGTCTAATTCTTTCTTTAAAATCTGAAGAACTTTTATTACTCCTTTTTCACCCTAACAAAAGTTAAAAAAATAAATAAATAAACAAGACAATAAAATGCAACTGTCTAGCTTATACATACCAGAACTGCATAAAAATTTTAGAAGTTTCTGACAGTGGAAAGTTACTCTAGAAAACCCGTATTTAACGTGATAAGTTTTCTTACCTAAATAATTGAAGCATCTGTTTAAAAATTGCCTTCATGTCATATAATCTTAGACCAAGACACACCTATTTAAACTACTTTCCTTAAGATTTTTTTATCTTCAAAAATAGCTAGTTTTATGGGCAAACAGTTTAAGCAAGTATGTATTTTGTCATTTTGACATAACATGGTCATTCAAATGAGGATCTAAAGGTATTTTTTAAACACATATTGTAATATCTCATAGGTTTAAAATTATTTTTCACAAATTTATTTTATAACAGAATAGGATGCTGAAAATTTTTTCTCAAATTTTTTTTTTATGACAGATAGAATGTTGAAAATTGAATTGAAAAAAAGAATGAAAATTTAATTTAAAAATAGTGAATTTAGGTAACATGAAATTATGTTAAAAGCTGAGAATTCACTTTATATATATTTTTTAATTGAAAATGTGTAGCTCCTACTTTAAATTTATATAAAAGTTTTTTATGATTTGGATTTTAAAATAAAATATTATTTATAGATCATGAATTTAAAAGAACACAAAATATGAATATTTCCAGCTACAAAATATTTTGGAAATACTACAAAATACTTGGAACAGTTGGTTTATTCATGATTTACGACAGTTGGAACTCGATAATTTTATTTTTTAAAAATTTAGACTGAATTTCCATTCTACTTCAAATTGTACAAGAATATAATGCTTTTAAGTACTAAATACTTATAAAAAAGTATTCAAATTTTTTGTTTCTAAAAGTATGATTGATTAAATGGATTTGAAATAGAATTGAACTTACACTATGAGCAAGACCCCATAAAATTGGCCTTCCAATAAACACTGCCTTTGCCCCCAAAATTAAAGCTTTGAGAACATCTGTTCCAGTACGCACACCACCATCCATATACACTTCACAGCGTCCAGCAACAGCTCTAACAACTTCAGGTAATGCTTCAATCTAAATAGATCAGGGATACTTAAGTTTTGGACAAGACTGGTATGCAGAAATTTATGTTCAGAAATAAATAATATTTTTAATGTATATATTTAGTTGCATGTACATCTTACAGATACTAATAGACAATATAAATACTATTACGTAATAAAAAAATGAGTATATAAGACTGCTAATTGAAATATAGTAAGACCTTGCCCATTAGAAATTCTTGGAACTCAATGATTTCAAGGTAGAGGAAAATTCTACAAAGGTGCTAACTTTCTAAACTAGCTATTAATAATCAGAGATACAATAACACAGAAATATATACAGTTAGCATTTAAAAAAATTAAATTAGCACAATAAGGTGTATATACTACTTAATTCTATATAGATATGTAATATTAATAAAATTATATCTACTAATAAATAAAAGACATAGCACTTAGGTAAAGATACTATTTAAAAATCATACAGCACTAAAATTTTATACTCCATTATAAAATAATGAACTAAATTGAAAATTTGGAATCAATGTTCTAGTTTTTGGTTAAACTTTGGTGTTTTTGGTTAACTTTTTTATCATCCTGCACATGAACCACTAAATATTTTTACTCAAAGCATTTCAGATTTGAGTATTTGTTCATTTTTTGCTTTTTTATAACGAAAGAAGTTTCAGAAGGGGGAAATGAGATTTATTTGCTTTTTTTAATTTCTTTTTTCTATCGAATCATTTTTGTTTTCAGAATTGCTTAAGGAGTAGAAAAAAATTATCAAAGTTAATAAAAATTATTAAATTACATTAGTTGCAAACAACAAAATTTCATAACTCGTAACACATAAATTCTCAAAAACTGTAATTTTTATTACTCAACCATAATCACGATTATGAAATTGCTATAATTGCGGATAAACCGCAAAAGTTGGCACCCTTAATTTTAAGTAAAAAGCTGAAAAAAAGCATTTTTTTAAAAAAAATGTAATTTAAACATTATAGGATAGATTGATTGTTGGCAACATCTAATTTAATTCAATATCTTCTACTGTATGAAAAATAAAATACAGTTTTTGAAAATAGAAACAAATTAAACTTATCTTGTACAAACCTAATGACATACAGATTGATTGGTTATAAGCCAAAACTTACTGATTGGAAACAAAACAAACATTTCCTCATGAACTTAATAGGATGAAATCAACTTGCATAGAATCTTTATTTTACTGAATCTCAAAACTATAGGTATATATTCATTTTTCTTGCCTTAAAAATTATTCTTCCCTTTTTGAAATATATGTTATATACAAAAATAATGAAAAATAACCATATATTTTACGAAATAACAAGCTTTTAAAAACGTTGATAGCTATATATGGCAATTTTATCATGCTACTAACTGAATACCCCTTCTTTGTATAGTGTGAAAAAAAAGAAATATTGAATAAATTAATGTAACACTCATGCGCAAAGCTAAAAAATATATTTAAAAAGAATTAATGCAGCTGAAATAATTGAAATTTTTATTTATCTATTTATGTGTTGCTTTTTGATGTATATTATGTTTCTAATGTGTTGCCTTTTTCAGAGGCTATATTTAAAAATTTTCAGACAGTTTTGAAGCTGCTTGTAATAACTTTTTAACTATGTTCCATACAAAAATTCTAGCAGAAACAAAGCTTGAACTGTCAGTCATTACTAAAGAGATGAGTTGAGAGAGGTTTATATAAAAAGCAGATATTGCATTAGAGTGCAATAATTATAAAAGTCATGAAAAAAGTTTTTTAGTTAAACAAAATTAAAAGATAACAATTAAAAATTACAGTTGCAGGAACACCATCTAGCTGCCTTCCACCATGATTTGATACAATAATTCCAGATACACCATATTTAACAGCTGAAATGGCATCTTCAGCTAAAGTGAATAAAAAACAGTATCATGAGAATGTTATTCACATGCAATTCCCTTTCAGAATATGATAATATATGCATGTGCATTACCTGTCAGAACTCCTTTTACAATGATTGGTAAAGATGTGATAGATTTCAACCAAAGAATATCTTCCCAAGTTAAGGAGGGATCAAACAAAGAATTCACATATTTATTTAAATTAGATTCTTCAGTTGATGATGGTAATGATGACAAGTCTGTATCAAAATTTGCAAGCCTAGAAAGATTTAAAAAAATTGTAAGATGTGAATAAATATAATAATAATAATGAATAAATCATTAAAACAATACATAAAAGAAAATTTTGTTCAAACACTTTAATAAAAATGTTCTTAGATTTGTAAATTGTCCTAATCAAGTACTCAGGTAAGCGGAAAAGTTTCATATGTTCATAACTCTAACAAGTGAGAAAATATTTATGATTAAATATTATGTACAATCTAGATATTAAAACTGAAATTGATTTTAGAATGGTACAGAAGAGTGTTGGCTATATATCATCATCTATGAATATTCTACATTTACATGGCGTGTAAACAGCTTTACACAAAAATTGCCAAGGTCTTAAAAAACAGGAGAGTAAAATCTAAATATTTTTCAAAGTTATAAGAACGATATCCAAAAAATCCTAATTCATTTTAGTATAGAAAATTTTCTTTATGTGTCATACATATTTTTTAATTCCTTGCTTGCAGAGTTATGGTTATACTGCCTCTATAACCACATAAATATTCTTTACAAAAGTTTATTTTTAATAACTTTTTCTTTCACTACACTTTGAAATTGTTAAGGTATAAACTATAAATAAATGTTGGTGGAGAAAGACAATTTATAATAAAAAGGATATTTAACTGGAATTGAATTACACTTGATTTAAAGATTTTAGCTTACAGCAGAATTACATACCATCATTGTTAAAAAGAAGCTTTGTGTTATAGGGAAGATTATAAGAATTTGAAGATTAGTTAAAAAAGAACCTAAATTTTTAGCCTTATTTGCTTCATACTGCATATAAAAAGATAAATGCTATTTTTTTTTCAGAATTTAGACAACTTCACTGTTGTCTTTATTTTATCTAGTATTAAATATAGATATTTCTACTTTTTGAAATCACAATTATGATATAATAATTATCAGCAAAATTGTGTTAGATTTGATTGTCAAATAATTTTTATAGCTATTGAATGGGATATAATGTAATAGGTTAAATGATTTCCATGATTCTTTGGATTTTTATATTCTAATTATTTGGTTCTAACTATGAATCAAGATACTAAATGACGAACACAGAAATTTTTTCCATTTTTTTATGTGTTTGGATTCCTAATTCACAATCTGAAAAAAGTTTTTTTTTTAATGCACCAATTTAAAACTTTTTTTAACGCAAGTGCCTAGGCCTCAACTTCTATGAGGTCCCAAATTACAATTAACTATTTATTTTTAAACTTTTTGTCACATTTTTTAGAATTAAAAAATTTTTTTAAATTAGTTGAAATTGTTAAAAAAAATAATTCTCAGTTTTTATAAAATGTATACCAGGAAAGGCTCCCAACCAATTAAATTAAAATCTTCTAAAAATATGATTAAACATTATAGAGGTCAGTTACACTAAAGGTGGAATTAAAATCAAAAAAACATTTTATTTAACCTATACAATTCAAATGATGCTCCTAGTTATTTATTTCAGGAAGAGTAAGTACATCAGAATTTTTTTTATTTTTAATTTAGACAAATGAGTACCAATGAATAAATTGGTTTTGCTGAATTCTAGTTCATCTTTATTACTAAATTATAATTGACTTTGATGATAATTTTAAGATTTTGGCCCTTTTAATTATTGATTTGAAATTTTTAATAAGTAAATTCTAATTACTTCTATCTAGACAAGAATACAAATATAAATATCAAGGACTGAGTTTGTGGCATTACAATTTGAAGAGTTTAACATGATTAACCAGATCTGACTCATCCTTATAAAAAATATCTGCACATGCTTATAGAATTGCCAAAAAAATTCAATATTCCTGAATTGATATAAAAATGACACCAGCAAAATTTTGTCTATAACACTTCAAAATGAAAAAGTCAAAGAAATTGTGGTAAGGAGGAAATTCAATTTCTAGCATTAAAATGAAATATTTCTTGGAGTAAAGAAATCTTAGGTTAGAGTTCCATTTATAGAGGAGAAACTGCAGAAACTACTACTAGTCTTCCTCTCATGAAACAATTTTAAAAATGTTGTCTTTAAAAAAGTAAAAATATCACAAAGACGACATCAAAAAATGTAACAGCATTCAGCTATTTCAAAATGGTACTCTGAATCCAGAATGAATCTAAAATGTATGATGTAAAACATAAAAAAAAGGGTAATTTAGAAATAAGTATTATCATATGTTTCATGAGCTCTAAGAATATTGTAATTTTCAATTAGACTTGCATAAAGACTAACACATTAGTCATAACTTATGATTCAGCTAATAACATAAACTAAGCAACAACTGCAGACAAGTAAAATTTGTTATTTTTCTCCATACTGGACAATACAGTATGCACAATCATTTGGAAAGATGCTGATTTAAAGAAATGTGTTTATTTTTTAATGGCTATAAATTTTAGGACTTATAGTATTACTAAACTGTTAAAAGGAAATTGCAAGTACAATAAACTTGATTTTGACATTTCTCAGAATGTATTAGCAAAAATAAAGTTTTTACTGAATAAAAACAAAATAATTGATAACTTATAATATCCAGGGGTGATTGTAAGCCCAACTCAAATATCCTGAAAATTTCCTGAGTACAATCATTAATGACGGATATCAAATAATTAAAGTCTTTATAAATTTAAATCATTGATATTTCCACAACATGAAATTCTAATTAAATTAAACACACCATACTTTAAATTAATAATTATTTATAAGCTTACTTTCATTTCGAATAACATTTATCATTCTACCAGAAAAAATATTTACAAATGAATGAGATGCCAACTGTAAATTCTAGTTCTAATATTTTTAAATAAAATATTTAAGAATTTTTATACATAAATGTGATCGATGATTTCTTGAAACTTCTGGACTTTGGATTTCCGGATGGCGGTTAACGGAAATCTGGATTTTTTCAAGTGCACAATCATCTCTGAATATCACAATTAATAAATTAACCATCATAAGGGAAACATAAGTATTTATTGAATCACCAATTCTAGTGCATTCACAACATAAAAAATAATCTTTGATATATACCTAACATACANTTAATGGCTATAAATTTTAGGACTTATAGTACTACTAAACTGTTAAAAGGAAATTGCAAGTACAATAAACTTGATTTTGACATTTCTCAGAATGTATTAGCAAAAATAAAGTTTTTACTGAATAAAAACAAAATAATTGATAACTTATAATATCCAGGGGTGATTGTAAGCCCAACTCAAATATCCTGAAAATTTCCTGAGTACAATCATTAATGACGGATATCAAATAATTAAAGTCTTTATAAATTTAAATCATTGATATTTCCACAACATGAAATTCTAATTAAATTAAACACACCATACTTTAAATTAATAATTATTCATAAGCTTACTTTTATTTCAAATAACATTTATTATTCTACCAGAAAAAAATATTGACAAATGAATGAGATGCCAACTGCAAATTCTAGTTCTAATATTTTTAAATAAAATATGTAAGAATTTTTATACATAAATGTGATCGATGATTTCTTGAAACTTCTGGACTTTGGATTTGGCGGTTAACGGAAAATCTGCAAATTGCTGCTGATTTTTTCCGGTGCACAATCATCTCTGAATATCACAAATTATAAATTAACCATCATAAGGGAAACATAAGTATTTATTGAATCACCAATTTTAGTGCATTTACAACACAAAAAATAATCTTTGATATATACCTGGCATACATTCAAGAAAGTAAAATTCTTAAAAAAATGAAAACTATTAATATTTTATAATATAGAGCAATTTCACATTGAAAACATAAAAAATAATAATAATTAAATAAATTATTTAACCTCAAGTGAGGAGGAAGAGCAAATCTATTTCTTGAATCAGCAATTCTATGACCAAAAACTGGAGTATCAACAGTGACAACTAATGCAGAGAAGCCAGCCTTTTCTGCTCGAGCAACCAGATTTTCAGTAACCTTTCTTTCATTGTAAATATATAATTGAAACCATCTCTTTGAGTTAGGAGCTGCTTTGGCTACATCTTCCATTGAAGTTGTTGATAAAGTACTGAGTATCATAATGACATTTTCATGATTTGCTCCTTAATTTAAAGAATAAATCTTGTTAAATAAACAAATTATTTAAAAAAACTTTTTTTCAATAAAATTGATATAAAAGAATTCAATTATTTTTCTTTCAATATTTATCAGCATTAATAAACAAATGTTATTGAGTAATTATTTTTGACAAGCTGAACTAAATTACACTTTTAAATTTTCATTTTGTTATGACTCAAATATCAATTTTATTAATATAATTTAAATTCTACATTCCCCTCTGCAATTTTGTCAATATTTTTGCTGCTTTTGCTTATCCACCTGTATATTTATTTTTTCCGTCTCATATATTCCAATATAAGACTATCGCCGGCCAGGTGGCCGAGTGGTTAGCGTGTCTGACTGCGGAGCCAATGGCCGCGGGTTCGAATCCCGCTCTGGGCATGGATGTTTCTCTCTCTGTGTTGTCTTCTGTTGTGTGAATGAGTGAATGTGGCCCACCCTATGAACGGGTTTGTGGCAGTATGGCGTAGGTAACGTTGCTCGCCTCCGTGACTTTGGTTCACAGGTGCCCACTGGGTAACGCTAAATGAGTAACAATTCCGGCATCTTCTATGGCGAAGAACGAAAAGTTCAGTGCCTGCCGTTATTAAAAAAAAAAAAAAAATATATATAAGACTATCAATGCAATGCGATTTTGTTGTCATACAAAAATTTTAGCTTTGTCAGTAAATTTTCTCTGAAAAATAAAGGCGATCTTGATATCACTGGGTCATATTCTACAGATAGGCTATTTTTTGGTAGTGACAAAAAGAAAAGAAAAAATGCAACAGAAATTTCTAAATTTTCGAAAAAAATTCAAAATTTCTTAATTTATTTTTATGCGATTGAGCTAATTTTTTAAAGTGTTTACAGTTAGGGATTTAAAGTTTCTTTAAAAACTAATTTTTTTCCCCGTAGCTAATGACACAATTCATTTAACAAACTTCTTTATTTTTCTTCTAGGCAAGGTGTTAATTGATTATACATTCTTAAGAATGTTTCTACCTCCATTGTGTAAGACTTTGACTTATATTTACAGGCAATTTTTTCTGCATATGTATTTGTTATATTAATGATTGTATTTTCCATATCATTTGTAAAAAAAAAAAAAAATTTCTTAGTTTCTTTACAATTTTGATCTAGATATACTTTAAATAAATGATGGCATATTTATTTTTTACAGTTTGCCCAATTGATATACCCAAGAATTACCCAACTGATATCAGAGGTCTATCAAGACCATTCGTAAAAGGTCTTATCGCTGAAAAAAATCACAAAAAATTTAGTGGATTTATAACTAGCATTAAATTGGGTTCTTTTTGCCAGGGTTCCATTTTGTGACTTTGTGACATTTATTTTCAAACAGGCAGTTTTTTTCATAACAAATAACTATAAAACTATATCTCACAATAAAATGATAGTAAAACACGGAAATAAAAAACCTCATTTAATATTTCCAAAAACAAATCTCAATGATCTTGTTACTAGATTTAAAAACACCAGTAAACAATACAGAAATTAATACTCTAATTCAATTTAAAGATGTAATTTCATATTTTCCTCCTCACACAAACATTATGACTATTTAATTGCAGTTGCAATACATTAAATAGAAACATTTCTTTTCACATTGATTTTGTGCATTCACATTATATACACAGATTCATTAAATTGAAAAAAATTAAATTCAAGACAGACTGTCTGAATTACATTAGAATTTATTTAATTTCTCAAGTAGGATAAATTGGTAATATTGAATGATAGGATGTAAGTATGATTAATTTTGAAAAAAAAAAAAAAANTGAAAAAAAAAAAAAAAAAAAAAAAAACACAAAATAAGGATAAATTTTTCAAAAATTTTGAGAAGAGACCATTTTTAAAATCAAAAATATTGAGAAGGGTCTGCTTTCAGGATATAATGTTATGTGAAGAACTTGTTAATGGATCCAAATTTATCTGATAAAAACCTCTGATTAAGCATAATATTCAATGAAAATTAAGAGAAACATCAAATATCAGTCATAACTAAAACTGCATTATGAAACAACTATAACATGCCTGGTTATTCTGATATTTAATAAAGAGAAAACCTTTGGGCAATTATAACATAGAATAATTATCATTACATGTAAATTCAAAATTATCATACCCTTTATCGTGGCTATTTCTCCATCAGGATGAGCCATCCTTTGCATAGCAGTAGGAGCAATTCCAATAGGGAAGGAAACATCTTTCCCTGCAAGAGTAACAGCCAAATGCCGTTTTGAAACATTTTGAAGACTTCTAGTTCTAAAACGTAACCTGTAATATCTCAATCAATAAGACTTCGATAGGTAATTTAAATGCATTTTAATTTAAGCAGAAATATAAAAATTTGTTTGAAAGATAAATTTTGCTGCAGATAAACAAAACAAATAATAATAATAAAAAATATGCATAATAAACCTACATGATAGATAAATTACTATAGCTGTAACATTTCAAAAAAAGAATTTTACGTTAAACCATGGCAAAACACATTTTAATATAAAAAATGATACACAATAGTTTATATACATACATACACACATACTTACCAATCTATCCATCTATATCTATCAATAGGAAAAATATAGTTTAAAAATATATTAACTATTTGATTTTTACTATTGCAATTCTGGAATTATTATTTAACGTGTGAGAATTTATTCAGTTTTCTCTGGCTCAGTCATAGCAAAAACATTGCTAAAACTATTTCTATTGTTTTATTTTTATTATCTGTTGTTTATTTTACAATATATGAATATAACAGATCTTAACCTTGATATCAACGTAATATTTTATTGTATAACATTTTTTGCAGCTTAAAAGTCTTTGAAAGCTCAAAAAATAAGTCTCTTTATAATTTATGAAGGAAAAGATGACATGTGCTCCTGTTTAACAAAATATTTTGGGTTAAAATGTCATTTATCCTCTTGAAATATTTTCTGGCACTTAAGAGTATGTATGACATTTACTCAGTTAAGCCTAAGTCAAGGATGCCAGAAGTGGAATTCAGCTGGTATGTCTCCAAACTCGATAAATAAGTTATCCGAGATTAAAATTTTACAAATTTTAAAATTAGAGCTTTGTAAAAACACACAAATTATTTCAAAATTAAAATTGCATTGTGTTAAAAACTGGAAAAATTAATCTATTAAAATTTACAATAATAGCAGCTTTTATTTCATGCGGAAAAATTTTGTGATAACTATGTTAAAAATCCTTATTTCTTAGTTAAATTGATCTACATATTTTATGGTATGAAATTTTGAGATTTTATAAATTCATTTCAACAAAAGACAATAAGTCACAGAATTACACGTGAAATATCACAGGTAAGATGTAAACATTTATTAATTGAAAAAAGAAATTTTTTTTCATTTTCGTTTTGTAATTCAATAATATCATATCATGTGCAGTAAGACTAGAGAGGTAGTTTTCTGATAATATATTAAAGTGTCAATTAAAAATAATAAACCAACACAGCAGTTTTTCCCCGACATAGTTGCCATTTACTACCTGTTTGATCTCAACCTCTTCAAATAGTATATAAATGGGTCACATGATTGGAGTTTTATTGTAAGTTTTTAATCTTCCTATTAACAGGTACTACTTGGTCAAAAAACTTCATTGGCTTCAATAAATATGATAATGGAAATGGTTTTATTTATTTAAAAAAATAATATGTTCATGTGTTCAATAAATAGTTTATCACTTGGAAAATACCGATTATATTACATTAATTAAATATAATATCTAAAGATAATCATCATTATTTGTAAAAAATAAAAAGTTCTATTTATAATTTCAGAAAAAAATATGAATGACAAAAATGCAAATTTATTTATAATAATACATAGAGTAGAATAAAATCATAGTATCTCAATTTTAAGAAAAAGGATTAAGGATCCAGATATTGCAATTAACTAAGATGAGTGAAGCAAGTAGTTAAAGATAAAACTAGAAAAAAAAAGACAAAACTGAAAATAATAAGTTGTTTTTAAACTGGATTCAAAATTAAATACACATTTCATTAAAACAGCACAATTCTGAAAAAACAAGTTATTAACTATCTTTGATGAAACAAGAATAAACCTTTTAAAAGCTTCTTTATTTTCAATTAAAGTCTGTTCATTGTTTGCACCACTTTTATAATAATCACCAATTTTTTTACTTAAACTTTTAAGGGCAAACTTTTCAAAATCATCAATACAGAAAAAGTCATCGATTGAATTACTAGTCGCCATTATACACTCCTATCTTTAAAAAGAAATGAGGAAAGCATAGAGAAAACTTACGGTTAGATTTTATCTTATTTTGATATATTTCAGACATAAAAGCATGTGAGTAAGTGATAAACTTATCGATTTGCATTCCAGCGACAGTTATTTTTTTTATTTAATCACCTGTTTTAAGCAAAACAAAACAATGTTGATTATTTGATATATAAAGTCTCTGACTGCTTACTTTTGCTAACATAAAGGCTTTTGCTAACATATTTTGCTCATTACGCCCTTGGATGTTGATTGTGGATGTGCCATAGATAGGCTCCATGATTACGCCTCAGTTTAAACCTTTAAAAGCTAATAAAAACTTTAAAGGTTAACTTGTCCGGCAGTGGACTGATCGTTAAGACACGGTTCCTATCAGATCACCGAAGTCAAGCATCACTGACCGCGGTCAGTGTGAGGGTGGGTGACGTGACCACTTGGATCAGTCTGCGTAGGGACCGAGGGTGTGCGGTATTGGTCCTCGTTAAACTGTTCTACCGTAAAGTGCTCGACTTCGCTTGCAGGTCGTCGGGCTACCGAAGTGAGGCTGCCATCCCCTCTGCAGAGGTTCAAAATTGTGATGGCATGTCTTCGACTCATCCTCAGAGCTGTTTCCCAGGCAGTCGCCAATAACCCATTGTGCAGCTCTAGTGTGACGTAAATGAACTACTACTACTCAAAGGTTAACTTTTGCTGTTATACTAAAATATCGTTTAGACTTTATTTTAATTATTTTTAAAGGATACCCGTCAGCTCTTTATTGTTCTCCAACTTGATTGTTGTTGTTTACGTCGACTAGAGCTGCACAATTTGCTATTGGCGACGATCTAGGAAGCATCCCTGAGGATGATCCGAAGACATGCCATCACAATTTTGATCCTTTGCAGAGGGGATAGCATCCTTGCTTCGGTTGTCCGACGACCTACACGCTAAGTCGAGCACTTTACGGTAGAACAGTTTAACGAGGACCAATACCGCTCACCCTTGCTCTCTACGCAGACTAATCCAAGTGGTCAGTCACCCGCACACTGACCGCAGCCAGTGATGTTTGACTTCGGTGATCTGCTGGGAACAGTGTCTTAACCATCAGTCCACTGCGGGACTTCTCCAACTTGAAAAATTGCTAGGATTATTATTTTCAGATTGCTGAGCACACTCATTTTATCTATCCGAATCACAATGGGATAGAATCACTTGTAAAGCGGCTAAGACACTGAAAATTAGGATATTGGTGTAGATTGATACTTGCTCCTTCTGTTTGAATTTAAAACTTGTAAACAGAAGAGTCTCATGAATTTAATTATTATAATAGTAGCTAAACATTTCAGATTTGTTGTGATACTGAATTTTCTTTTGTGATATGAATTAAAACCTCTGCATTTTTTTTCTTTCTCATAAGCGGAAAAATGGGTATTTTGCCAAACACAGATTCCTTTAAAAACACACCGAAAAGAAAAACATCAGAAGAAAAAGTTTAAAATTCCTTCTAGATTTATTCATCAACATTGAGTCCTCTATTAACTGATAACTATATAAAAAAAGAAGGAAAAACAAAAGAAGGAAACTTTCTTTAGAAAAAGCCCGAAAACAAACCTTAAAACTAAATTACTTCAAAATTAATTGGAAATTAAGAAAAAATATACCCAAGATCTTTTTTATCTTGATTGGAGAAAACTATAATTTTATTGAAATTAGTCTTTGATTTACTTCAGGAAAAATTTATTGAGCCCAAAATGAATTAGAAATTTAAACAAAATTTGACGTTTTTCATACCAACAGCCATAAGAATATACGACTGCAGAAAATCATTATTTTGCTGTTAATACTTTTTGTTAAAGTGAAATGCAATATGAAAAATAAGTAATAAATTAATGAAAAATCAAATAAAGAGAAAAGAATTCAAATTCATTTGACTAATTTAATATATATATATATATGTATATATATGTCTCCTATAATTTTCTTTAATGTGTGGGTATGGAAAAAAAGTCCTTTAATTTTTACATTTACCTCAGATCCTTTTAATTATTAAAAAAGTTCAAAGTGTAAAATTTTTTCTTTTTTAGGTTTTATCACAGATTTGTTTAAAATTAGTGGCCATAATCTGGAAAGAGGTCCAAAACCTCCACTACGACATGACCTTTTCTTTTCTATTCTATTTAAAATAAATTCAATTGAAAGAATTACCTATATTTAAAATAAAAAAATAATAAAAATCCGAGGAAGAATGGCTTTTAAAATTTTTCCTAAACTAATGGTAAACGCGATTCTTATCTGTAAAGAGTAAGAGTTTGAGACTCATAACTCCACAAGCCTGTTTTTCGTT